CTGCTCTGCTCCCCAAAAGGATTAATGCCATCTGCGCTTAGACCAAACCATACGCTCCTTGCGTCATCTGCAAACTCCTTCCCGTACTTTCTTTCAATTTTTCTCCACTGCGACCCGTCAGCTGGTACTCTCAACTTTCCGTCTTTCTTAAGGTCTTCTCTGTGCCATCGCATCGCCTTGGCATGCTCTTTGTTTTGGAACAAACGTTTCAACCGTGGTATTATAGGAGAATACCACATCACCTTGGCAGGAATCTTCTTCCTGGGGCGCTCGCCCTCGACATCACCATGCTCATCGCGGTTGATCTTATAGCGCAATGCACCACATACCGGGCAAGCGTTCAAATCCTTGTACTCACCGCGGTAGAGGATGCAATCATTAGGGCATGCATGTATCTTCTGCACCTCTAACCCTAGAGGGCAGACAGCCTTCTTTGCTTCGTACGTACTCTCGGGCAATTCGTTGTCCGTTGGAAGCATATCCTTTATCATTACCAGCAACTTTCCAAATCCCTTGTCAGATACACCATTCTCTGCCTTCCATTGCAGCAATTCCAGCGTGGTGCCCAGCTTTTTCTTGTCACCTATGCAATTCGGGTACAACAATTTTTTGTGATCCTCTAACATGCGCTGCAACTTCTTCTTTTCCAAATCACTTGCGCAGTTTCTTTTTGCATCGGCAATGGCCCGACCTAGATCATCAACGGGCTCATCTGATGCCTCTTCTTCAGCTTCTTCCCGCATTGCCGGCTCAGCTTCTTCCCGCATTACCGGCTCAGCTTCTTCCCCCATTGTTGTATCATCGTATTCAGGGAACCCATGGCCAGGATAGCTGTCGTCATCCTCTTCTTGTTCATTATCTTCCATCATAACCCCTCTTTCTCCGTGCTTGGTCCAAACATTATAGTGGGGCATGAAACCGGACTCAAACAGGTGGACGTGAATGGTTCTTGACGTAGAGTAATTGCGATCATTCTTACAGCCAGCACATGGACAAGGCATAAAACCATCCGCCCGCTTGTTTGCCTCAGCCGCAAGCAGAAAAGTATGCACGCCCTCAACGAACTGGGGAGAGCATCGGTCAACGTACATCCATTGCCGGCTCATCTTCATTACACAACACCAATAGACCAAATTAATACAAGTTCATACATAAAGTTCATACAACACTTAAATGCAACAAACAAATAACTCTCTAGCTAAAGCATTTAAATGCAACAACAAATGCGATCAAGATCGCAACTAAGGTAACAATTGATCTAACAGCATAATGATACCAAGCCTCACTATCGATGGCATATTTTCTAATCTTTCTAATCTTCAAGCGCATTTTCTCCATCTTGATCTTGTGATCATCGACGACATCGGTAACATGCAACTCCAATTCCATCTTCTCCCCCTTAATTCTTTTCAATTTTTCTTTCAAGTACTCATTTTCTCTTTCAACTAAATTTAACCTCTCGACAATAGGGTCGGTTGGAATTTCCGGTTCACATACCTCCTAGATAAAAATATCTATGTCAATTTGATGGGCATAATTATTTGTCATAAACACGAAATGTAACAAATAGTTTTAAAAGAGAATATACCACATCCGAATCATAACAAGGACGAGGGCCGACGGGGACGGATATCAAAACCATGTCACTATGTATAACAAACAACGTACGGGTAAGATAATTATTATACGAGTAACTATATATTCAAATCACACAAACATTATTTTTTTTATATAAAATTCCATGACAAGAGGCTCACCACAAGGTGGTGCCGGCGACGGGACGGTGCGGGCGATCGACGGTGGTTACGACGGAGATTTAGAAGGCACTAAGTAAACCACACCTACATATGCAAACTAAGTGTTATTTTGACCTCAAATTGCATATAAATCAAATACTACCACATATAATTCCTCCCAAATTACTAAAACCCACAATTAATCACTATATAAACCAATGCAAGAGCTAATCTAGCAATGAGAGATGAAAGGACAAAGTTGCTAACCTTGGTGATCATTTAAATGGATGAGGGCCTGCAAATCTTGACAAATTTGGGGCAAATTTTGTGATGAACTCGAGAGAAAGAAGGGAAGAACAAAAGAGAGGGAGAGGAGAAAGGGGGAAGAACAGAGTGCGGGTGGACGAAGGATTTATATAGGACAACCTTTAGTACCGGTTCGTGCCATGAACCGGTACTAAAGGTGCTGGAAGGGCCCCACTCTGACAACATCCTGCCACCACTCTCAGTAGTACCGGTTCGTGGCACGAACCGGTGCTAAAGGTTTGCCACGAACCGGTATTAAAGAGCTCCTCCCGGCTAGCCGTTGGAACCGGCACCGGTTCTGTTACAAACCGGGACTAATGTGTCTCACATTTGACCCTTTTTCTACTAGTGCTACCAGATTTCAACTAGTTTGGGAGCTTAAATGTACACATCATCCTCCACTGTTCAAACAAAAGTTTGATCGATCATGATAACTTTTAATACAAACAAGATGGACCCCAAGTGGTATTTGCCGCATATAGAGGTATATAGCACAGGAACCACACACAGAGTGACCTACATGGACTGCGGCGCATTTTTGTGCTGCATGTACCGGGTTTTCGGTTTCTGTTTCTTTTCTGGTTTAATATTTTTCAGTTTCCTTCTGGGTTTTTCATTTCCTTTTCGTTTTTCCTTCTTTTCTTCCATTTCCCATTTTATTTCTCTATATATTTTTGTCTAAAAGAAAAATAAATATTTATTGATAAATGCATGAATACATGCTGAAGCTTGTGTAATAACAATGCCAAAGGGAGTAGCCAGCCAACAGAATCTACCACTAACTGATGAGCAGAATAGCAGTTTCACACAGCTAGCGTAATGTAGAAGCGGATCACATGCATCAGCATTGTTGTAGACCTCTCATGTTCTCAGGATTGTGCGCTGACATTTTTTTCTTCTTTTTTGCGGCTAGGAAGTCAGCAGGTCACAGAAATGTCTCTATATTTGCCTTCAAGAACCCGACCCACAGCTAGTCTGATCTTATCTTCTATAAAAAGCAGGACACAGCTCCACATATAGCAGTAGTAACAAGAAGTAGCCCAGATTTTCATTGAGAAACTGATGTAACAACCACAGCACCTCAACGTCCTTGTCTCCTCCCTAGTGAGCGAAATGTTCCTGATAATAATCGCAAAATAGTCAGCCAGTCAGTCAGGGGAGTGAATGAATCTCTGTATCTTTATCAATGCTAGTAAATAGGGCAGGCTAATTTTAGGATAAGTATGAAAGGCACACATCAGTTTTGTTCGCCAAACGTTAAACAAGAAAGCATGGAGGAACAGTTTAAATAGGAATCTGATTCAAGTCCACGGCAACTGAACCCCAGGTGGTGGAAAGCGCACATATCCTAAATACAGTATAAGTTATATTAATATGGGGAAAATGGAAACTGCATGATCAGTTACTTGTTTTTGTCTATGACTGGTGCAATTACAGGCTATGTACTTGAAGAAGATAGAAATCAACATGGAGAAAGGAATCACGCTGACAAACTCGTAACAAATTCGCGTAGCCACAGCTACCAATTGCTAATTTAATAACACCAACATATGATATATGCAAGAACGAAGAAACATCTAACCCTGACCTTGTGAATAGCGACGATCACCTAACCCTTTCCCAAAGTCCTTTCTATGACAGTGCAACTGTAACATTTCCTTGTGTGGTTAATCTTCATTACATCGCCGCATTCATCTGAATCTCTGTTCTGTCGGAGCTTCTCTATCAACTCTTCTGATGTGTCCAGCAAATGCAATTTCTCAAGGGCTGCAAGGTGTTCGATGCCATCAGGAAGAAACTTTAGCTCAGGACAGTCTTCGAACCATAGCTCGACAAGGTTTTGCATCGCGCCCTCCTCTACTGCAACTTGGTTGAGCTGTGCTGCAACCCATATCCTTAGATAACCAAGTTTCGGAAATGACCCTGCGTAAAAATCCAGCCTCTTCCATTCAAAAGCCTTCAATAGCTCAAGATAGCGTAGACCATGTAGCATTCACAGACAGAAAAGGTTTCCTCATCAATATTGGAGAATGCCAGGTACAACCGAGTGAGGCTATTAATGTGTGACCAAGAAGAGAAAAGCTGAGGCATTGTTGTTTTCTCTAGATGCCCTAGTAAACCAAGCACGGAAAGGGTTGGGGGTAAATATAGCCCTTCAAGCTGCAGCACCTCACTCTCAGCTGTAGCACGTATTCGGAGATGAACAAGATAATTCATTCTGGTGATAGCATTGCTCAAGTCAGCAGAGTGTTCGTTTCTCACGTTGTGGACACCAAATGTCCTTAGCTGTGTCAGAGCTGCAACTTCACGCAGAAACTCTGGAGTTGCTTCGACAGAAAAAAGAGCCTGCAGTCCCCCCAAGCGTTGTATGCCACTAGGAAACTTGACCCCACGTGTGCTTAAATCTTCTGGTGTGCCGGAAGTACACACATACAGGTATCTCAACTTATAAAGTTTTACAACATTGTTTGGCAAATACGTTAGGTTAGACTTCCAAGCATCCAAGACTTCTAGGTTTTGTAACCTCCCCACGGCTTCAGGTAGGCTTTCAATCTCGGTATCTCTAAGACCCAAATAACGCAGATTAAACAAGTTGAATACCTCACTAGGAAGCACTTTGATACCAGTTCCTTGCAGATCCAACGTTGACAACAAACTTGAAGATGCTAGGATAGGCTTCAACAAATCAACATCGATATACCTCCCAAATACATGGAGCGCGTGGAGATGTGTTGCACCAGATTGGCTCAGTTGTTCAAGGTTTCCCCCCTGGACCGATATTCGACGTGCACCCTCTACAGAGAATACCCCCGCAGAAGAGCCATCATAAACTTTACCAAACTATTCCTCCTTGGCTTTGTTGAGGGCAAGAAGGCGTATGACATCATGCATCCGACAGTGTTTCAATCGTCCAGTATGATTCCTCTTCACTACCTGCAATAGGCTTCGGTTTACAAGCTAAACCAAGTATCCCTCTGGCACTTCCTCCAATGTTTTGCTATCATCTTTTTCCCAGATAAACCCCGCCGCGATCCACTGCCTGATCATCTTCATCCTCTTTAATACATAATCATCTGGGAACAATGCACAATGTATGAAACAATTCTTCAGATTGTATGGAAGGGCCTCCAAGCTGACCTTTAGGATCATATGAGCATCAGGGATCACATCTTTCGCCATCTGTAAATCCAAACCCCTGTACACATCCTCCCATTCAGCGGAAATTGGGGGTTTCAGGGAGAGTAGGCGGCCAATGCATCTAATAGAAATAGGCAAGCCTTGACACTTTGCTATGAACTTCCGAGCCAATTCCTGCAGCTCCAACGGGCACTCTTTGTCATCAGCATTCCCAAAGGCTTCATTGGTAAATAACAGCCAGGAGTAATGTTCTTGTAGCAGTTCCAAGTGAATTGCATATGCAGACTCCCTAGTTGCCAACACAACCTGCTTTCTTGATGTGATAACAAATCGGCCGGTACAATTAGATGTTGGGAAGACATCCCTTATCTCCGACCACAAGTGCTCATCCCAAACACCATCCAGTATCAAGATGTACTTTTTACCTTGAAGGTAGTTAAGGATGGATTTTGCTAGGCCTCTCATCTCAACAGTGGTGACATCGACTGTGATGTTGAACTGGGCGGCAATCTTCTTTAGTAGATTCTCAATACGGTAACTCCCCGACACAGTTACGCACGCCGCACCGTCGAAATCCGCTTTCACGGTGTTGTACACATGATCAACGAGAGTGGTTTTACCAACACCAGGCATCCCCCACACCATGGTGACTTTGCTGCTGCTCCGCTCCGGATCATCACCACCTCCATTCAGCCACTGTATCAACCCCTCCTTGTGTTCTTCGATCCTAACAAGGTCCTCATCCCTGGTGAAGTGCAAAGCTTGACCTTCTCTTGTCGATCTAGCAGCAGAAGCAGATCTGCCGGTGACGGCATAATCCTTCTTCCTTCGATTGGCATCCTGCAGCTGGGCTTCGATTTCTTGGAGCTTGGCTGCCAGGCGGCGCCAGGTCTTGATATGCTTGAGCCGCTTCTTCATCTTGCCTGTGAACCTGCCGTGCTTGCAGTCCTCCAGCTTGTAGTTGAACTCGTCGACGACGTCCTCGATCTGGAAGGCGAGGCCCCTGATCTTGCCGATGAAGATCGCGGTGGTCTTGTCAGTGTCCTTGAACTGCTCCGCCTCTTGCAGGTAGGCCTGCATGCTCTCCAGCTCCTCCTTGGACCGACGTATCTTGCCAAAGAGACCCCTCAGGGCTGTGGCTTCCTTTCACAGCAGCGCTCCGCCGTAGGTGGCCGCCTCTTTGGCTAGTGCTGCGCCGAGCGTGACCACCAGCTGCCCGACAACAGCCTCCGCCATGGTCTTGAGGCTTTTGATGAGTAAACTGGTTGTTTGAGCGCACAATTTGGTGGTAGGTCTGAGGAGTAAATTGGTGGTTTGGGCGCTGCTTCTAATGTGGTGGTAGCTAAGGCTTCACAAACTTGAGTCCACAGTCTGGCCTTGGAATAATCAGCGTGCATGCCAGACCACAATTTGGTCTTCCACTATCTGGTGGTTGTTGAGGCTTTGAGCTCCGTCCAACCATTCCCAATCCTCTTCCGGACCACAGGTTTGAACGATGAGTGTTTCTTTTACACTCTTCCATGTTTTTTTTTGTATCCTCTGCCAAGCTTTTTTTTTTTTGCTGGTGTATCCTCTGCCAAGTTGGACAGTAGCACCAACCAACACATCTAGCTAGGTCCAATCCGTTCTTTATCCTCTTCCAGGCTAAAGCTTTGAGCTATTCCAAGTTTTGTTATCCATCTAACAAAAACCCATTTTATCCTCATCCAAGTTGCCACCATGGTGAAGGACCCCTCCAACCAGATGAGCACTACCTGCCCCCTTCATATGTACTGTGGTCCGCGGATGGTTTCAATCTCCGAGGAACAAATTTCAGAGAAATTTGTGTAAAGAGATTTGTATTTCACTCTGCTGGCAGTAGCATACAGTTTTCTCACTAAGAAGATCATCACCGAGCATTTTTATGGATGAAGATTCTCACTGAGAAGCTAGTTTGCAAGCATTTTCTCTTTTTGCATATGTTAGATCCATAAAACTACGTTGAAAAATCGTTGTCCCCAATTTCATCACGAATTTATTGAAATGCAGTTTTAGTTTACAGCAAAATCATTCCGGGTTGAGTTTCCAGCTGCATACTTGCATTGTCAACGTATTCTCCCCTTCAGGATTGCGCACGCCCAGGGATGCGAAGACATGGATAGATAGTTCTTTTTGCTCTTTGCTGCTAAGAAATCGCTGCGGTCATTGAATTACATATTTGCATTTGATAACCAGAGCCACAGGCCACAGCTAATCTTCTGACAACGTCGTCTTCGATCGTATGTAGGAAAAAAAAAACCAACTCTCAGTTAATGGAATCCCCTGCCATGTTGTAGTGGCTGCATAGACTTGGTGTAATCCGGTCCTGTCAAATGCCACTTGTGCCTGCGACGAGGAATGCCTCGTGGAAATTCCAGTAGCACTGACATTGCCATGTCTGAAGAATGAGTGGACACTGTCAGTTGCCGAATAGATGGGTGTCAGCAACCTACACTACTTCCACACTTGGGCCGGACAATGGGCTGCTGCTATTGGACTTGGGCCGCTCAGAAGACTCGGGGAGACATGCACTGGAAATACAAGGGAGATGGCAGGGATCGATTGGGCTTGGACCGGAACTTCTGTTCATCGTCTCCTTCCTCTGATCCCCTTCTTTCTGATAATCCTCTGTAATTTGTGGTTGTAATTGATGAATCAGTAGTGAATCGAGAGAAATAGTAGTTTGAACCTCACAATGGGGCAGAAGATGACTCTGTTCCACGTCCAGCAGTGTTGACATGTTTTGTACTAATCACAAAACTGCCTTTCTGGCCTGCACTTGTCATTAGAGGAACAAATAGAGTAATCTAAGTTTGATATATACTCCCTCCGTCCGAAAATACGTCTAGATACATCCCCTTTTATTCAATTTGATGACAAGTATTTCCGGACGGAGGGAGTACAATTTTTTATTTATTTAATACTCATAGATGCAAATTTGAGTCAAAATAAATGTTTGAACCAGTCCTTGGAAGGATTCTCTTTTTTGTGTGTGTGTGTGTGACAGGAGAGGTGAGAAAGAAAACACAATTATTTCTTTTCGTAGAAGGAAATATGTTTTCTGACAAAAAAGGAACTTTGTATTATCGGATGAACACTCAAGCAACATCACTGAGAAGATAACTTCATACGTTCCAATTCCGACGTGGCTCAGCTCAGCTCAATACCAAACAAACAATAACAGGTGCACGGCTCAACTCCTGAATTTTATTACGAATACGTTGAGCGCAGTCTTTAATTTACAGTGACACAGTTCCAAAATGGGTTTCCAGCAACATAATTTCCATGCTCCCATGAACATAGTTCACCATGCCTGCTGAATAGCGAGGAATAATAGTACTTGCATATTGCCCAGTAATGATCACAGCTTATATAAATTATTACAAGCGCCAGCGCCGGTGCACAAACTGAAAATCTAGGATCAGCGAAACAGCCACATGTAGGTGCTCCTTAAGAATCGGTCGTGTCAGATACGGATGTGCGTGCGTACATGCAGGAATGCTGAAGCTTGTCCAACAATGGCGAACAAAGTAGCTAGACAACAGAAACTGCCACTGACGGATGAACAGAGTACTCATCTTACACAGCATAATGTTGATCGGAAGTGAACGAATCTCTTTCCAGCCATAAATATTGTGAATGAATCTGTATCTTTTCAGAAGTTACTTAGTTGACTCTGCCTCTTAATTTTGGATAACTAGTCAAGTACTCTCTCTGTAAACAAATGTAGGTGTTTTTGCAGTTTAAATTAAACATGTGTGTACAGGGGGTGTATGCAAGATTGAAATTACACATTCTTTCTCTTCAACAAACTTTGAACCAAGGAACATCCACAAATTGGGAAACTGCATGATCAGCTCTGTCCTATGGAGTCAGGTGACGATACACATAAACATGCAGAAAAATCATGCTAGATTTAGTTGACAAGCTCATATAAATTTACACCACTAGGAGCTACTAGTTGCTTTAATTCTGCTTGTTAGACTGTATATGGATATGTAGACTTGTGTATACGTATTGTACTTGTACTTGTACCCTTTGGTACTTATATATAATGAGATAGCCGCACCCCTCAAGGGTGTCGAGCAGTTGCCCCAATATTCTAATCTTACATGGTATCAGACTAGGGTTACCGTCTTCCGCTGCACCCCTTGCTGCCGCCGCCGCCTCCGCCGATCGCTGCCGCCGCCTAGCCCGATGGCCTCCGCGCACTCCGTTGCCGCCTCGGCTTCCTCTCCTGCTGGCGCGCCCGTCGCTCCCTCGTCGCCCTTCCTCGCATCTCCCCCGCTCGCCACAGCTTGGCGGCAGCCGTCGCTGCCCGCCGAAAGCCATCTGCAGGGCGGGCAGGGCGGGCAGGAGCAGGGCGGGCCGAGCCTGCCCCAGCCGCCGATCGCCACTGGTGGCGCCTCGCCCTCGACCTTCGCCTTCGAGCCGCCACCCTCTCGCGGCGCTGCACCGTCCGCCTACGGGGCGGCTCCCCAACCCTACGGAGCCCCTCCGCCCTACTATGGCGCTACCCCGACCTACGCTTCGTGGTACGGCGCCCCTGCACCAACGTACGGCGCCGCGCCACCGATGCCTTCTACCTGGCCGATGCCTCCGCCGTCACAGATAGCGCCGTCACCCTATGGCGCGGCCTACGGCGCCGCGCCCGCCGTGTCTTCGGTGGCCACGCCTGGTCCGGTCGATGCCCCTTCCGGTCCTGGCTACGAGGCGTCCTTGGCCCTCGCTCCCCATGATGGGCAGAACATGGGTCCTCATGCGGGTTATGCTCCGGCGCCATCGCCGTTCTACTTCTCGCATCTTCTTCCGGTGAAGCTTACACCGGACAACTACCTATCCTGGCGGGCGCAGGTGCTACCTCTCCTATGGAGTCGCTACTTGGAGGGCTATGTTGATGGCTCTATCCCGTGTCCGCCGCCGTATCACCCGGCTCATCATGTGTGGGTGGCCCAAGACCAAGCGATACTTTCGGCCATCCAGTCCTCGCTGACTCCGAGCGTGTCGTCGCTTGTCATCTTTGCCGCGACATCCCGGGAGGCTTGGTCTGCACTTCACAGCAGTTTTGCCTCTCAGTCTCAGGCGCGTGCTCACTCTATCCGCACTGAGTTGGGGGAGACCAAGCTTGGAGGCCTCACCATCACGTAGTACTTCAACAAGATGTCAGGACTTGCAGACATGCTGGCCTCCATTGGCCAGCCCCTTGGAGATGAGGACTTCACCACTCATGTGCTCAATGGCCTCGATGATGACTATGACAATCTCATTGAGAACGTCCATGGGCGCGAGGCGCCTCTCCCGCCACGGGAACTGTATGCGCGGCTCCTTGGTCGCGAACATCGCATCAAAGCGCGTCGATCTACTCCGAGTTTTGCCTCTGCTAACGCCGCAACCCGTGGCAAATCGCAGAAGCCATCGCTCCCTGCCAAGCCGGCGGGCACATCTCAGCCCTCACGGGGCGCCGCGCCGTCCATCACAGGGGGATCGTGGCCGGTGGCTTGCTGCCCCAGTTGTGGTGCTCAGTAGGCGTGCCAGCTGTGTGGGATTGAGCGCCACGTAGCTTCTCGCTGTCATCGCCGCTACAAGCAAGATTTCCTTGGCCTCGGCAACAATGGCAAGGGGAATGAAAAACAGGCGGCCGCTGCGGTGGTGGGTCATGAGCACGGGCGTACTCCATCCTACTCGATTGATCCCTCGTGGTACATGGACACGGGAGCTACCAACCACCTCACCAACGACATGAGCAAGCTCTCGGTCCAGGAGCCATATCGTGGTCATGATCAGGTGCACACCGCTAACGGAGCAGGTATGCGCATCTCCCATGTTGGTCAGGCATCCCTTCTTGCACACAATTCACGAAAACTGCATTTGTCTAACATCCTTCGTATTCCCACTGCTTCGCGTAGTTTGTTGTCTGTTCCACAACTTACTCGTGACAATAATGTCCTTGCTGAATTTCACCCTTTTCGTTTCTTTATCAAGGATCGGGACACGAGGGCCGTTCTGCTTAGCGGTCGTCTTCGCCGTGGCTTGTATGCACTTGACGCGCCAACCGCACCTCC